CTTAACCTAGCTTAGCGCAGCGATGGTGGACGGGGCCAAAGGCCTGATCCAGAAGGAAGAGGAAGTAAAAGTAGATGTGCTTCCAGCTTTCTATGTTGGGAAACCCATGTTCAACAAAATATTAATCATAGCTGAGTATTTTTTCCTAGTTTAAAACATGTCTGGAGAGGAACTTCGGCCGTTATGTCTCTGATAGTAAAAAGAGAGGCCTTCTTTTTTTCTGAGTGTGTCAGGCTGAGAAATCTGTCCTTTTAGAGAGATTTTGGGTTTGCTAAAATAGAATGACTTGGTGTATGCAAGCCCAAACAATCGATGTGTTTACGTGCACCATGGTAACAAAAGAGAGCTTTTAGAGAGAATTTCAATCCCTGCCATCTTTCACACCTCCGCACACTTGGCCAGTTGCTGCGTGAAGTGATTTGTCTGTGTGATTGAAAGTTACAAACATTGTCCGGTGCCGTCCCGCTCAGTTTCCAAAAGTAAGGAGACGATCGGACAAACATTTTGAGCGTAAGCAGATTAACAGAGCTGCGTTATTTATCAAACCCAGCATGTTTGCACACTCAGCTTGAATCTGTTGATTCTGTTATGATTTACATCACAAAATCCTTTGGAAAAAAAAAAAAACAGGCAAAACTAGAAATAGTTTAAAAATAGTTTGAGTATCCTGCTTATGTTTTCCGCTTGAAAACAGCTTATCCCTGTTTGAGAAACCTGGATATTCTACCTGGAGTACTGTGATGGAAACCAGGAAACTGTGGCATTCAAACACCTCATCCAGGTTTCTGAACCATCTCATAGTGACTGAGATGAAACCAGGAGACTGTTATGATCATGTGTACAGGGAGATAAAACCCAGGGTCTTCATGTCTCATGTTAACGCCAGGATACTAATGCACATTCTGAGACCAAGCACACGTTGAGAACAGAAACAACACCTTCTTCCTCTTACAAGTTAAAAGTTGAATTCATATGTAGTCAAACTCACCATTGTTTAGTTCAGTACATTCAGTGGTTTGCTGCTACAGCTTTACTTGGTCTGGTCTGACCACTAAAGGCTTTTTCAAGAGCCTTGGTCAAAAAAGATCAACATCTGGCTTTTGTTGTCAGTGTGAAAAGGTACAATCTGCATTCTCTCCCAGGTCAAATGACTCTGCAGGAGTCGAGTGTTTTTCAGCTACAGCTCCGCTCGACAGTGATGTAAACACAACACCTGGGTGAACACCTGCCGGTGTCACCCGCCCAGCACGGTGCTGTTAAACCAGAAGCAACCGCGGCTACACCTTCCACCGAGTGTGTGCGCTCAATAAATTTTAAAAACACACAATCACCGACCGAAAACGTCTCACACGGAGGCTCTACAACACTTTACAGGAGCACCAACCCAACCTGCGGATGAGACACGAGGAATCCATTTTCCCAATCTGCACGACAGCTAGCAGCTGAGTCTTTGTATCTGTGTGTGTGTGTGTGTGTGTGTGTGTGCGCGCGCTCTGTTACTGCATGTGATGACACTGCTCCCTGCAGTTGTGTATGTCCTCTCGAAAAGAAAGGAAAACTCGTCTGGCAGTGTGTGAAAAGAGTCGATCGCCTTTTTTGTTTGTTTTTCTTTAGCGAAGCTTAAGTATTAATTTTGGTGTAAAACGGGTAGAACAGAACAGTAGCATTCAGCATTATCCCATAACTTTCACCTGTAGCCAAAAGGTAACATAGTCTGGCTTTAAAGGAGACCAGTTGTCATGTCTCCTCCTCCGTGCTTCCCGCTCACTTGTTCACTGAAAGCTACAATTTAATTTCGAACATAAAACACAGTTTCTTGCAGTCTGCGATATCAGTGATGCTGAACGCCTTAATCGGACTGTAACCTCAGTCTGGGCATTCTCACTTTGTTTGTATGCATGTGAAGGTAAAGCATGTGTGCAGTCAGGCTGTTTGTGTTGCTGCCGGCCTGCCTCTAACACAGTCAGCTCATTACAGCTAAGCTTATTTTTAGCACAGTGTGATTGAAATAGCGTCCTGAGGGGGCCGAGAGCAGGGGGGAGAGGATTGAACGGAGAAGGAGGAGGAGGAGGAGGAGGAGGAGGTCGGCGTCGGCCCCTACGGTCTGAAAAGGGAATCGGGATGCACAGCCGCAGTTTGCCATGTGTCGCTGAGACAATCGCTGTCCCTCAAGAGGATCACGGTGAGGCCGTTGGTGCCACACAGGCAGATACAGGATCACACAGCTCCGCCACTCAAAACACACATGACTTTGCATGTTTTCCCTCTCATTATTAGAAATCCACACTATTATGAATGAAGAACATATCCAAATATATAAATACGCCAGAGTGGTTGTTGCTTCATTGTTATGAAGCAATATGTCACCCACTCAAACGGTATGTCTCTTTCACGTGTTGTTAATAGTTTTTGGACAACAGCGGAGTTCTGTGGCAATATCAGGAGACGATATTGTCAGAAGGATAAACTCACTGTTAGCTTTTGTCTTTTCATGAGATTTGTTGATTATAATTTAAAGATGGAATAACACCGGCCTTTATCCTTTAACAAACAGGAGGGAAAACAACAAGGGAAGGAAACACTGTTATAGAGAAAAACACAGACTTTAATGGAACTGGCCACCAACCAGTGTCTCCGCTCAAAGAATCTGAGCGATTTCAGTCAGTCAATTCAAATGAGATTCATATCAGCGTGCTGTTCCTTTCATTCTGTTGCCAGCGCAGCAGGAGTCTGTCTCTTGCCGGCATTGGAAGGCTGCCGCACTTCCTCCACATCCAAAGCAGACTGGTCCCACTGTCTCTGTACGGGGAAGACAAATAATAGAGAAAATAGTTTTCAGGGAGGATATCAGGATCTTAATTCGCAGCCTCTGCATCAAGCATGCTTTATTAAGTATTCCATCACAAGGCCAGTCTTCCTCTTTTGAAAATGAGCATGCTAATGATGTTAAGGTCAGTGTCTTTACGATATCACATTACTTCAGCCATGTTTGTAGAATACATCTGATTAGTACCGTACTATCCCTCGACTGTACTAAGTAATAAGCTACAATACAATAAACTAAGTTCCCATTGTGCAGAGTCATGAATCTTCCAACTTGACTCGACAGTTATGACTTGTCTGGAAACCAATCCTGGTCCAGTAACACAAGTTAGATGTGGAAACCTGAAGCCTCCAATGCACATATACTGAGAACAGGCCTTTCAGTAAAGAAGGAGACATTTTGTGGATTGTTTTTTTTGCAATGAGGGACGAGGAGTAGATGCATTGTGACCATGCGCTTGTGCACGCTTGCTACTGTCACCTGTGTTTCAAAACATGTCTGGAAGAGATATTTACTGTTTGTTATGGAAATTTATTGTGTATTTTTGAGGTATTTGGACATTATTCTCTAACTCACGGTGGTGCTAGAGGTCACCAAAGCTAGTAGGATTCATCCTCTGGTAACCATGAACTGTCTGTACAAAATTCTGTGGCAATCTATCCAGCAGATACTAAGATATTCCACTGGATAAGTGAAAAATACAATGATTTGCTGTTGGTACAAGATGAAAAGTTAGGGGATGAAGTCAGTAGGGTTCATCCTCAGGGGATCTGGAGCATCTGTAAAATTTTTGATGGCAATCCTTCACACAAAAACATAAATATCAGCCTCATGATGGTGCTCGAGGTAAAGTCAGGGGATCACCAAAGTTAGTAGGAGTTATCCTCTGGTAACCATGAATGTTTGTACAAAATTCTGTGACAATCCATCCGATCGTTGTCGATGTATTTCACTGGATAAGTGAAAATATTATGCGTTTTGTTGCCACTACATCAAAAAAGGGAATCACGAAAGTCAATAGGAGTCATCCTCTGGGGATCTGGAGCATCTGTACAAATTTTAATGACAATCCTTTTGGTCGTTGTTGAGACATTTCATGCAGAAACATAATTTAAAAAAAAAAGAAAAGTAGGATTATGACACGAAAATATATCAATGATGTGAAATGAAGCCTGTGCAGTTCAAAATAAGTGAAAATTTAGAATTAAGGTGCTTGGTCTACAATAATGATAATAATCCCCTCTAATGTTTCCATCTCTCTTTGCTCAGTGTGCTGTGCTTCTGTCATTAGGTTGTAATAGGCCAGACGTCTCGCCAGCGGGCTCCGAATCATTCCACTTTGGCCCTGTGCCCCCACATGAGGGGATAAAGAGCAAAAATAATCAAGGAATCAGTGAAGTTTGTTCAGGAAAGGCACAGCCAGTGGCTCCATCAGCAATATGTGGGGAGATGATATATGCCGCATAGGAAGAAAAGCGGGACCTTGGATGCTCCCTTTACCCCACTTCAGCCCATTGCCTGAGTCAGCTAGTGCTCCCTCACCATAAACTGCCACTTTTAATTTCCCCATCCTTCGCCCACTTGGCTGCTTTTTTTCCTGTGCCTCCACGAAATACCTCTGAGTACCTCTGAGTAATTCTGTGTGCCCACTTCCCCCCTGTTGCTGTGGAACAGGGCCAGCGGAGCCCACCTACCGCTCCCACTCAGCCTCCACCCTCTCCTCTCATACAGGACGTGACATGTTGATTCTGAATGATCTGTTTCGGAGCCACCAATCGTACTCTCCCCGACCCCCCCCCCCACCTTCTTCTGTCCCCTCAGGCTCTCTCACCATCACGCTTCCATTTCATTAAACAGCACAATAGCTGCGCTGCGGTGCATTTATTATTTTTTCGTCGTAATGACTTTTGATCCATTGATCTTAAAAACACGAAAGAACAAAACAGTTTTTCTGATGGAATGGCGGGACACAGCAATGCTGACTGTGGCCTCTGACCCCAATCACACTCACTCATCCATACCGATATTCCTTCGATACACTGTCGGTGGATCATTTTGTATTCTTTCTTTCTTTCTTTATCCCCCCCCCCCGGCTGAATCACCCCTTACACGTAGTGCACCGTCAAACCAGCTCGATCTAAATTTATATCCTTCCCTCTCTCTTGTCCCTCTGCAGAGTCTGGAAGCAGTGCTGAACTTCAAGTATTCTGGGGGAGCAGGCAAAGTGGAGGGCTACTATAGGGAACTGTCTCTGGGAGTCCATGTTGATGTGGAGCCGTCGGTGTTCTTCACCAGAGTCAGCACCCTCCCTGCTACCAGGTAACACAAAGATCAATGTCCTTGCTATGAAATGATCTTAGCATTAGTGATTTCTGTTTTTATGTTTCCTCATTAATAATTCATTGAAGTAGATTAAAATATTTAAATCTGGAAAACGCTACATAGACAAATTATCACCATGTAAAATTTGTTGAAATTTTCAAGACTCAAGAAGTAGTTGTAGTTTGGAATCTGTAACCACACCTAAAAGTGCTGTCGGAGGGTGGTGGAGCACACCTGTCACGCCGCTGCAGCCAGGTGAGAAGTTGAAACACGATTTGGAGACGAGCCAAAACAGAGAGTGTGAAAGTATCAAAGCGCTCAGTCCGCAGAGGATTGCACACAGCCTGTATTCAGAAACTGAGCCTTAAAACCAGCCGTCAGGACTTCCTGTAACTTTGTGATGTCACAACTGCCTCCTCTCTTCTGATTCGCTCTCTGAACTGTTGTTACTAGAGCTCCAGAGAGAAGCCTGAGAGAGGAGATGTAAAACTACACCGAGATGGTTTTTGGTTCTTAAAACCACAAATATATCTTCTTATGGATCAACACTTCAAATCAAACACGAGGAAAGTGTAAAAAAATATGAAACCTTTAAGTTACATTTTATTGTGAACATGTAAATTCACACATCTAGCAAGCACTGAGCGACGTCCCATCAGAGTCTTGTTTCTGTCTCACATTAAAAATTTCTCATATTGCTCAAATAGTAAGTGTGGACACGTCTTTTGTTCCTCAAACACATTATTTTACTGCACCGCCCCCCCCCCACAGTACACAACTGGACCCCCTGATTACAGAGCAGGTAGCTAGAAACTGCTATAACACAAAGTGAATTGTGGAACTTGGATAAGCTTGTGGAAGGAGACTTATTTTTCTTTTACAAGGTTTGTTCTTTAGGGGCCCATTTCAGTCACTCAGTCAAACAGCGCTGCCTCATTCATATTTAATCACTCTTGCTCACCAGGTGAACTATTGCTCTGTTTTGGTTTATTTACTTTCCTTCGCACTGGGTTTGTAAAGTAATGTGTTTACTGAATGGAAACAGCGCAGAACTTTGCTCACGTTGTGCTCAGCGCTGCTTCTTTTTTACTGACCATAATCTGATAAGCCTTTAACCCTGCATGCCATTTTTCATGTATTCGTGTTATTAATTTGGTAACATAACCCCGTCATCGTCAGATAAAGTCGCAATACCTCTCTACCCTCGCTGATGTAGCACACAAGCTGAAGGGAAATCTACTTCACAGCCGCTCTCGTCGCAATAATTGGTGATAAATCTCAATGGTACAGCTTCATTTTCTCCTGCACATAACACAAACGCAGCCATTTTTTTATTTTTTTTCTCTCTCTCTTCTGATTTGGCGAGTAGATATCGATCTTCCACTGCAGCAGCACTCTTGGTGTGGCATTACTGCTCTCAAAACCAGACTTAGAAACGGTATTGTCACTCACGGGTCAGATAGTGGCAGATGTGAATGGATATTTAATGGATATTCATTCTTTTTCTCATCCTCTCACATTCTCTCTCTCGTGCACGTTTCCCCGGGTCTCGCTTCACAACTCTCCCAAAAAAAAACTCAAAGCGAGAGGAGAAGGATCGTAGTCGAGTAATGGCCACTTGAGGTGAATCATTAGCTGTAATAATATCTGCAGTTGAAGCCATCCATCTTGGCTCAGTGCTGATAGATATGCCGCACTGACTGCTATACCGTCAGCCCCCCCCCCCCCCACTCCAGCCCCCCCATCCCCTCTCTCCTTTACCTCTGCTGCACTTTCCTGCCTCATCACACTGACGTACAGTCTCTATTGGCTCTCAACCAAATCTCAAAACATTTTAAATCTGTTGAAACTGAAAAGTTTATTTCCTGTCGCTCGATATCACATTTAGTGACTCAGTGGGCTTCACAGGCCCACCCGGTGGTTCGTGACCCTGCCTGATCTCTGTGAGAGCACTAGTAAAAACCTCAGCGCATGAGCAACATGGAAGCCACCTCATAAGAGATCTCCATCCTCCAGACAGTCGAGGTGCATCAGGAACAAAAAGAAAGTCATTTTTGTTTTTTTTAAATGTACAAATGGAAAGTTGCAGGATAGAAGGTGTTTGTATGTTCAGGCAAATTTGGTGCTTGGGATTTTGGGCAAATAAATAAAACTAATTTGACTTTGAAGGCTAATAAATATGCTGTAAAACGCTCAGTATTTATATTTATAGTGTGTCCAATATAACGTATTTTATCATTTTTGAACTGGATTACCAAAATTAAAGTCTCCAAAGTCCTTGAATAGTTTAAACACCCAAACCAAATCTTGGTTTAGGCATTAAAACTACTTGGTTCTAGGTTTAAGAAAAGATCGGGGATTTGAGTTGAAGCACTTCCTTAAGAGATTAGACGACCTTTATCGTCATGGTTACAATAATAAACACACAGTTAAGGTTGGTCATGGTTAAAAGACGCAGACTTTATTCTACATTGCCTAACTTCGTCCTTTGATCCTGTCATAATATCTGCAGCCACCAGGGGTCGCCCAACAGTAAAACGTAACTATGAGTCGTAATAAGCTGTTTGACCTATGGGGTCGTTTCTGTACAGGACGACAATCTCTACTTTTCCTTTAGTGAACGGATATGAAACTATTATCTATATAAGTCAACCAGCGGTGATATATGTGCAAGTATTCGTTTAAAGTATAAAAGCACGCCTCAGGCCACAGCGATGTGTGCGCGTATATCCGACTCATGAGATCTTCTCCACAGGGGCTCACATAGGAGGTGCTGAGATGACTTACACTAAGTGCTCGCTCAGACATTAGGTGCTTTTAAACAATTTAATAACGGCCGTTCATAGATCTAATGTTGATATTCTCGTGCTTTGTACTCACACATTCGTACATCATTTGTTAGAATTTCCTTTGATTTCCCCTCTGGAGGGGAGAGACATTAAAGTCCTCCAACACACTTTTGTTGAGATAAGTACTATTGAATTTCTTGGCTGCGAGTTAAAAGAGAATTTGGAAGTGGTTGTATGAAATTGCTCAATAATACAGCAACTTATCCTTTCGATCTGTTTTTGTGTTTATCTGTCTCGCTTTCCTCCCCTCCCCCCCTCCCTCTCTGCTTATCTGTCCATCCATTTCTCCATCCTCTCTCTCTCTCTCTCTCTCTCTCTAAAAATCCCCCACATGCATTTACTTTTTGAAAGTCTTCTTCCTTGTTCTTTGTAGTGTGTGATTTAGCTGTGCTGTCCTCAGGTCCCAGTACATGCAGCTGCTCACAGCAACAGAGAATATAAAAACACATTTTATCTCCACTTTTGTCTCCCTCATCCTCCTGCTTATCCGTTCTGTTTATTTTCACTGTTTTGCTTCACGTTGTGTTTTCTCTGTCTCTCTCCCCCCCATTCACTTTATCTGTACCTCTTTCATCCCGACTCTTTTTCCTCTACTGGCCACGTGATGTAAGCGTGTGGCAGAGTATGCAAATGAAACTCATGTCACCGTCTTAACTGAAATAGTCACCTCCATTTTCTACTTCATCAAACAGAGGTGGGACTGAGTCGTTGTTCTGAAAGTCACAATGTACACAAATCAGTGTGTGTTTATTATTTGCTGCTTTCCCTTGTATTTCCTTTAATAATTTTAATGTCGTTACAATGATTTTGGGGTTTGGACTGCTGGTGGGACAAAGCAAACATTGCTAAGGTCTCCCTTTGGACTTCTTTTTATTTCCTACACTTCTACTCGCTGCACAACCACATACAGAAATGTGCTGCAAATACTCAACAACATAACAGAAGTGTTTCCAGGGGGACAGAAGAAAAAGCGAAGAACCCGGCTGGGGCGCACTTGCATAGATGTCTTACAATGCACCCATGTGCACTTGTTCAATGCTTTTTAATTTCAAAAGTCATAAAGCATTGAACAACGAGTGTGTCCCAGCCTGATTCATCACTTTTTAGTGTCCCCCGGAAACACTTCTGTCGTCGTCTGTGCTACTTGCAGCGCGTTTGTGAATGTGTTGGGAAATTGACGAAGATGTTTTCTGAATTTGTTTGTGTTTTGTCTGTTTGCATGTGTTGTGTTGAGCGCTCAGGGCCACCGTCCAATCCAAAGACTCAGTCGATTAATGGAGGAAATAATCAGCAGCTGAATCCATGGTGACATTAATCATTAGCCGTAGCCATTTATTCAAAATGAGCTCAAATAACTACAAAAGCTTAATCCTGCTTTTACATTAATGCATAAGTAAAAATAAAAGTATGATGTAACAGTCACATGGTACATTTTTCTATAGTTTATTGAATTTATAAAACAAAACACAAACTGGATCGCAGTCTGGCCGGAACCGCAGATAGCAGCACGTGGACGTCTATATTAGCAGTCGATTTGGCGTCTTGTCTCAGGTGAATACCAAAGTGTGAGTCGGGGGAGAGAATCCGCAACGCTTGTCGTGTTCGTAGTTTTTAAATAACATTCTTTTAAATCTTCGAGCTCATGAGTCATTGGTGTGAAAGTCCCAGTTGCAAGTCTTTTTTAGGTTTTGCCAAGTTGAGTCTGAAGTCATCACATTTATGACTCCAGTCTGATGACATGAGAATTTTTAAATTTATACATTTAGCCAGAAACTAGAAGAAGAAAACTAGCAGGTAGACATTTTTTTAAGACCTTTTTTTTTTTTTTTTGACACTGGCTCCTCTCATTCCCTTTAAGAGCACTGCTCTCCCACCAGTGACGTACTTCTGGTTTGGTAATGGAGTGGAGACGTACAGAGAAGCTTCTCCCAAGAGGAAGCTTATATTCCCGTCAGGAGGAGGCAGATACACGGTGCATATGGGCTCTTTTTAATTAAGCCTTCGACTGGTTGCATAAACTGATCGCTCTCATTATGATTCACACGTTGTTTTATTATTAGGGCACTGTAAAAATTTCCTCAGTTGCGCAAGCAGCAGTTATTCTACTGGACGATCATGTGGATCATTATGTTTCAGGTTGACATCTGC